CCGCCACCGCCACCGCCGCCATCATGACTGAGCAACAGCTACTGCAACTACTACTGTTGGCTAACTGTCGCCACCATCAAAGGCTCGAAGACTTTTTAGCTCCGCTATCCTTCGGGCTCGTCAAGCTCACCGGAAGCGGCCTAGAGCAATAAAGCAGTTTGAAGAGAAGCTTTAGAGGTTGTGTGCCTCAGGTTCCAAAATCGAGGGTTTCTTCAGTGTAGGTTTGGAGTTCAGGCCTCACTGCTTTCTACCTCTGCAGTATATCTGCGTCAAGTTCTTGGAGTCGTTTTTGAGGTTGCGCGTGGCACGCTCTCGAAGCCATGTCTTCCAAGCTCCCGTCGGCTCCCCACAATGCGCAACCCGTGAAATTAAAAAAAAAACACCTATAGCTATTGAAGAATGACAAGTTCTTCAAGTTGGGATTCTGTTTTCGTTGCTCCAGTGGCATATCGGGACGATACAGGGCTGTAAGAATTTCACAGTGGGTAGGTAAGCAACCTGCAAAGCAACAACCGTACTGAACAAGTTGTACGGTTCGGAGGAGCGCAAGTCTACCTGAAAAAGGATTGGGTCAGCATCAGACATGCTCCTACAAACAAGCTCGAAAGCTCAAGGGTGCAGATGGGAACTACATGTAAAAGTGGCAATCGTTGATTTGCAGTTCTCTGGTTTCGCAGTGATCTGAAGAATTCAAGCGCAGTGGCCTTCTACAGAGTCTCCTGGGCTTGAGCGTGGTTCTATCAGCATTCTACATGCAAGTGGCATCATCGCACAACCGAAGCAGCCGGCTTTACCTGAAGTAGACAGATTAGTAACAGACGTTGTTCTAGGCTATGCCTGGCCGTCTTCTGCGATTCATTGTAAACTATAGCTCATGCAGGCAGCACTTCTTTGACCGTTAACTAGATGCTAACTGCAACTCTGGAAGCTGCGCTCGTGGCCTCATGATACCATGGCTGGTACATACCAAATTCAAGAAGTAGGGCGGCGGCCCAAGCAATCACAACTGTTCACAGCTTTTGCCCGAACAAGGAACTTATGTTTTTGAGTGGAGCTAAGCCCATGAGGACAGTGACTCTAAGGCCGGTGTTGTCCTACGAAGTTTCTTTGTTAGCAATCTCTCGGCTGAGACACAAGTTGCCTCATAACGTCATGTAGACCTGAGAAGATACAAAGGTATCGTAAAATTGGAGCCATGCAGGAGCCTGTCCCTCAATTCTCTTAGAGGTGCATGGTGCGTTGCAACAAGTTCGAACTAGACCTACAACCCCAGCAGGTGGCTACAAATACAATTGTGCCCAAGCATAGGTACTGCTAGTAAAAAGACCAAGAAACTACATGATGACTGCAAGTACATGTTGCCGCAAATTGGCTGTGTACGGCCATGCAGGATTTCGTGCAACAACTCCACACCCTGAAAGCCACATTCTAAAACCCCAGCACACCCTCTCACCCGTCACTCCAAATCCCAAACCCTGAACCCTCAATCCTCCAGTATGTGCCTCCCAACAATGATACGGTTGTTTCTCAGCAGCTTCCTAGAGAATCCGTAAGAAGGAACGCTATCGTCCTTTTGTACATACCCCCAGTCCATACGGGCCCCTGTTTTGAGAAACGTTGGGCCCCAGTTCCCACACCGCATATCCCTAAAACCCCTGCAAAACAGCCTGAGAGAAGTCCCAAACCTGAAACCTTTACCCCTGAGCCTCAACACCTCATAGAGTCTCCACGATGAGCATTGAACCGCGTGGACAGTCAACTCTAAACACTGAAGGTTAAACTCCAACCCTTAAGCAAACCACGAGCCACCTGATCTGCGTCGCGGGAGCTCGCGAACTTTGGCGGCATGGCCACGCCGTAGACCTCCAGATGTAAACGCTTTGGTCTAAGGATTCAGAAATGAGGGTTGAAAACGAAGGTTGAGAGCTCAGGGTTTGGGGTTGAAGGTTTAGCGTGTGGGGCCTTTTGGTGGAGATGTTCATTGGAAGAGGACTTTGGTGCATATCGTACTAGAATGATGCAAGGACTGGAAAGGCAGAAACTTCCTAAACATTCTGCTTTCGCGTTGTGAATCTATATCACGATGACTTCTTCAAATCCAAGAGGGAAATTTCGGAAATTCTCTCTCGGGCGGTTCAGTTTTTACAGTTTGAGGTTTGGGGTCCAAGATTTTGCAGTGGGGCCTCTGCCATTCTTTCGTGCTTCAAGGCTTAGACCCAAACCCTGAAACCTACCCTATAACCCCTTCACAGGACGCCAGCAGCAGCCTACAATTGCAGCTTCAGCCGAACATCTAAACTTTGGAATTCCCTTTACTCCTCAGGGAGAGCGTCGGGACCATGAGCACATGCATTCCACGGGTGGGCATTTCTTGAGCGTGGGGATCATATTCCGCCATTCTTCGGGTTCTTATCAGATGGACGCCCCCCAAAGCTCGGGAAACATTCACGTCCTTTAGGAACAGAAAGTGTTTTTATTGTGGTGAAGTCTTGAGTTTCGAGGGTTCAGTCACCTAGTTCTCTTGAGATCTGACCATGATATCCATTGAGATGACTGCCTAACTGGGGTTGCTTCGGGGATAAGCCAGGCTGTCTGCGCTTCAAACACGTCCTCTGAAGGTTGACCAAATCAAGTAAATCGAGAATCACTTCCCAAAGGACTGCATGTAGGAGACCCTTCGAATCCCCAGTGTGATATGATAAACCCTGTAACCTTGACATATTCTTGCCCTGTGGCCCCAAAAGCGGAACCACTATATATAGAGGAGATAGATCCAAGTGTCTTCCCCCTGCCTTCTTCTTTTTAGCTGCAGGCTCGGGCGCCATGAATTGGAGCCCTGCCTCTTCAGCGATGGGAGTAGAACGGCTGCGGACGGCTGAGGGCTTAGGGCCAGGGTTCAGACCTCCTGGGTTGAGAGGCGGTAGGAATCAAGTGGGAAAGCATGAGGGTTCAAAGAGTTTGGGAGAGAATTCATGGATTGGGTTTAGGGCATGTTCCCTGTTTTGGGTGAAAGGGTTCTGCAGTCGGGAGTGTGCTTTCGGATTTTGGATTCCTGGTTACATGGGTATGCTATAGAGCAGGGTAGCGGGCCCGTTCTGGTGGTATGCAACGGCGGCTGTAGGAGTCGAAGTCCTTGGTATGCTGGGTATTGGCATGATATCAAGGCAGACGGATACTCCCCTCTTTTTCTAAATGCCGACTCAAGAAGATGCTTATCATGATACCGATGATGACTAATTACAATGCTGCTGATAATGACAATGCCGTTGAGGATTTAGGGCTTTGACTCCATCACTGTAGCTGTTGCTGCCTCTGGCATGACTACCAACACCATGACTCCTGGTAAGCTATTGATTGCTACAAGTCACTATAATTACTGCCTGCAATTGCCGTGCCCCAGCGCTATTTGTTCAACTTATTTATCGTGCACACCACCAAACAACCCGCCTATCTATCCCCTAGGCCCTGAGCCCCAAATCCTGGTTCAAACATCCGCTTCCCGAATCAGCGAGACGCCTTCCTCAAAGACCCCCATGAAGCCACAGAATAAACTCCCGAAACTCTGAACTACTCCTTTTGAGCCCTGCATATCCCTTACATCTCTAATCCCAAAATTCTCAAGCGTGAAAAAAAGCTGAGAAACCCCCGAGTCCCTTCAACCCTCAACCCCCTAGAGCGCTTCAAGCCTTAAACCCCCAGACCCTCGACCCTTGAAGCACCAAAGCCCCCAAAACCCTCTTAGTGATCCCCCTTCTCTCCACCTTCTCCGGGTCAATGTGGGCCCGAGCTTTGGAAGGCAAAGCACTGGGCGGCGCCATGGCCTGCCAGGCACAAGAAAGCAATTTGATGGGCGATGTCCAGGGGTACATGCTTAGTTGGGTCAGTCTATTAGGATAGGAAGACACCGAGGTTCGGAAAAGAGTAAACTTGCAACTGAAAACATCCGGTGCTGATTCAGGCCAGATGTTGAGCAAGCTTGGCAAGAATTTCTCGCACTTTTCGTCCCCATTATGGTTGCATGCCCCAAAAATTGGGAGATCGAGACCCGCAAGATGCGACCAATAATTTGGAGATATACCCATCTCAGTGCATGCCCATAACAACCCAACAACCCTGGCGGTAGAAAAGGAAGATGAAGCCTTAGTAGCATGAAGGTAAGGAGGAGTGCTTGCAGCAGAGATTATCCAGAGTCAAGTTTGAAAGCCCCCATTACACTTAGCCTCCGCACCTAATCCTGAACCCTACACGCTGAATCCTGAAACACTCTCAACCCCTCAGCACAGAACCCGAACCCATAAACCCTCAGCTGCAAGCCCCTGAACAACACGAAAAGCACTACACCCTGAATCCTTGGACGGACATTAGCAAGCAGCCTTTGCTTTCGCTGCAGGATCGGTCCTTGGTCTGGGGGTCTTGAGGTGTCAGGTGCACGGTTTCAGATTTGGGATTCCGAGTTTTGAGCTAAAAACGGCTTGAGGTAGGCAATGGAACAGAAAGACTACGGTAAGGATCTTGCCGGGTTTCCCTTCAGCCAACCCCCAAACCCTCAACCACATAAGGCTTGAACCCTACGCCGAATCCTAGACCCTAAGAAAACCCGAAGCCTGAGACCGTGAGGCCTATATAAGTCTTACCCTCAATCCTAAACCCGAAGCCGAAGCCCACCTACGGCTCGAACACCTTCTTCTTCAACTGCCGAGCCCCGCGCGGCTCGGTTTTGACCTCTTCCGGTGCCTCAGCTCAGGACCAGGAATTGGGTGGATTTACGGCTTATGCTTGAGTACATACTGGCACAAGGCATGGCAACCCCTTGCCCCACGCAACAAAGATTAAATGCTCCCTGCAAAGACCCGAAAGAGAATCACAGCAATAACTGCTCAAGTAAGGATGTGATTTAGGGGTTGGGCACTGGAGTTCAGGGTTTCGATGCTGAGGCCTATCCTTTTAGCGAGGTGGCAAAAGAGAAATTACCTGCTCCGCATCATCACAAAAACACCCACCCTCACAATAAATCTTCCTAATAATGTGATATCCTTTGGCAATGGAGGCTGCTTGGGGACTATGAGATTCTCAGTCGCCAGGCGGAGGATCGAGGGCTTGGAGGTCGACATTTGAAGAGGCTTGGCTTTGCCAAGTGGTTGCACCCCCAACAACCTTAAACCCCAAAGTCCCAAAGCCCTGAACCCAACTCCTAAACCCTCATCGCTAAACCCTAGGCAACCTAAACCATGCGTCTCAAACCCTAAGCCCCAAATCAATTGAATAACAAGCGAGCCCTAAAACCGCCCCAATGCTGCCTTGGCTTCTGCCGGTGCCGCTGCTTTTGACGGTTCCGCCAGTGCTGCCTGAGAGCCGAAGGAGATGGGATTTAAAGTAACCCCCAAAGGCAGACCCGGCAGACCCGGCACGTCATCTCAGGCTTGCTGCATGCTCTTGAGGCTGTCTACTCTCAATCCCAAGACTCTCAAGTTGTGGCCTCCCTCGCCCTGAAACCTCCGACCCTAAACCCCAAGAAAACAAAGCTTCAGCTCCGGACGGGCTTTGCCTTGGGCTCCGCCTTTGCTGCAGCCTTCTCTTCCTGTGGCTCGGCACTTGGAGGGCTTAATTGGGCTCTTATGGTTCAGTTGTTTATTTGTTGGGGGGGATGTCGGGTTTGGCGGGCTTAAGACCGTAGTGCTCAGCAGCTTAGGATGTGAAGACTCAAAGATTCTGGGCTTCGGGCATGAGGTTCAGGAGGAGGGTCTAGGATTTATGGTTTAGGGCTGTAGTTTGGGGTTTAAGCAGTTTAGGGGTGAAGAGCTATAGTGTGTAATCATTTTCCGCCTTCGATGCTTGGGGTTTGCAGGTTAGGGCTTCCGAAAAGAAACTGATATGCTTTTCTTGGAGTCTGCCTATCAGGCTGCTGTGTTCCCCAAAGCCTGATACGCGCGCTCCTTGATTTGGTTGGCCAGTCTCAAGTCAGATGCAAATCCAACAATGCACCGAAAGCCAGGCCCCAAAAAGGAGCGCCCCCTCCGGAAACGATGCTGTTTTGAGTACTGTTTGAGGAGATGGGCATCCCAGCCTCCTCGCTGGCCCAGGGTTTAAGGCTCAGAGTTTAAGGTGTAGGGTTCAAGCCGTGATAATTTGAGCTTGTCACCGTCCCGCTCAGAGGCCCTACCAAATTGACACGAACAGTGCTGCAGACTTTCTGTAGAATCACCTCTGCACCCTAAACCTGTACCTTGTGCGCTTTGTTGGCTCCGAACCCCCAGCCCCAAACTCAACACTGCGTCGCTTTGGGTCCCCCGCCTTCTCGGTCAACCGCGCCAGGACCTCAGCTGTCGAAGCCGGCGCGTTGCTCCTGGGAGGGCCACATAACAGCTGCAAGGTATCTTGAATCAAGATGGTGCAGGGCCTGACTGGTTTCTGGTCAAGGGTTGATAAGTTTAATTAGGGTAGTTCGGATGGGGCTCCAACTTTTGGGGTATGCATGTATGCATGCAATGCATGTATGCCAATTATAAATATATATATATATAGAGAGTGCG